TTCTTGCAACGTTTGAGCCCTTTGATGCTGCCACTTAGCCAATTCATCTCACTGGGGGTCTTCTTTTTCTATGACCCTCCACCCTACCAAACATGATATCATTCTCCAGCAACTGGTCCCTCCTGACAATATGTTCGAAATATGAGAGATGAAGTTTGCCCATCCTGGCCTCCAAGGAGCACTCTGGCTGCACTTCTTCCAAAATGGATCTATTGGTTCTTTTGGCAGCCCATGGCACTTTCAATACTCTCCTCCAACACCATAACTCAAAAGCATCACTTCTTCTATGGTCTTCCTTATTCACTGTCCAGCTTTCACATGTATGTGAAATTATTGAAAATACCATGGCTTGGGTAAGGTGCACCTTAATTCTCAAGCTAACATCTTTGCTCTTCAACACTTTAAAAAGGTCTTATGCAGCAGATTTGCCTAATGCAATACATTGTTTGATTTCTTGATGGCTGCTTCCATGAGTGTTGATAGTTGATCCAAAAACAATGAAGTCCTTGACAACTTCAATCTTTTCTCCGTTGATAAGAATGTTGTTTATTGGTCCAGTGGTGAGAACTTTTGTTTTCTTTACATTGAGATGCAATCCATACCAATGGTGTGATCTTTGATATACATCAGTAAATATTTTAAGACAACTTCACTTTCAGCAAGCAAGGTTGTATCATCTGCATATCATAGATCGTTAATGAGTCTTCCTTATTTGTCTTCATATAACCCAGCTTCTCGGATTATTTGCTCAGCATACACGTTGAATAAGTATGGTGAAAGACTACAACCCTGTCACACACCTTTCTTCATTTTAAACCATTCAGTGTTTCCATGTTCTGTTTGAACATGGTCCATGTACAGATTCCTCATGAGCACAATTAAGTGTTCAGGAATACTCACTCTCTGCTATGTTGTCCATAGCTTGTCATGGTCTACACAATCAAAAGCCTTTGCATAGTCAATAAAGCACAGGTAAACATCTTTCTGGTATTCTCTGCTTCCAGCCATGACCCGTAGGACATCAGTAATGATATCCCTTGTTCCATGTCCTCTTCTGAACACAGCTTGAACCTCTGGAAGTTCTCTGTCAATGTATGCTTGCAGCCATTTCTGCATTACTTTTAGTAAAACTGAACTTGCATGAGATATCAAAGAGATTGTCTGATGATTTTCTCATTCCATTGGGTCACCTCTCTTTGGAATGGGCACAAATACGGATCTCTTCCAATCAGTCAGTCAGATAGTTGTCTTCCAAATTTCTTGGCAGAGATGAATGAGTGCCTTCAGTGTCGTCTCACTGTCTTGAAGATTTCAATTTTTATTTAATCAGTTCCTGGTGCTTTGTTCTTTGCCAATTCCTTCAATACATCTTGGACTTCTTCCTTCAATATTGGCTCTTGATCACACGCTACCTCTTAAAATGGTTGACCATCAACTATTTCCTTTTGTTACGATGACTCTGTGTATTCCTTCCATCTTCTTTTGATGCTTTCTGCATCATTCAATAATTTGCCCAGAGAATCATTCAATAACGAAAGTCAAGGCTTGATTTATTTTCTTCAGTTCCCCCAGCTTGAGAAATGCTGAGTGTGTTCTTCCTTTTTGGTTTTCTGACTCCAGATCTTTTCACATTTTGTTGTAATATCTGACTTTGTCTTCTCAAGCTGACCTTTGAAATTTTCTGTTCAGCTCTTGGACCTCCTCATTTCTTCCATTTGCTTTAGCATCTCTACACTGGAGAACAAGTTTCAATGTCTCTTCTGACATCTATTTTGATCTTTTATTTCTTTCTTAATAATTTTTTGCTTTCTTCCTATATTATGTTCTTGATGTCATCCCACAACTTTTCTGGTCTTCGGTCTTTAGTGTTTTAGTGTATCAAATCTGTTCTTCAGATGATCTCTAAATTCAGGTGGGATATATTCAAGGTCATATTTTGGCTCTCATGGACTTGTTTTCATTTTCTTCAGCTTCAGTTTGAATTTGTATATGAGCAACTGATGGTCTGTTCCACAGTCTGCCCCTGGCCTTGTTTTGACTGATGATATGGAGCTTTTCCATCATCTCTTTTCACAGATGTAGTCAATTTGATTTCTGTGTATTCCAACTGGTAAGGTCCATGTGTATAATCATGTATCATACTGTCTAAAGAAGATATTTGAAATGAACAAATCATTGATTTTGCAGAATTCTATCATGCAATCTCAAGCATCATTTCTATCACCAAGGCCATATTTCCAACTACTGATCCTTCCTCTTCATTCCCAACCTTTGCGTTCCAATCACCAGTAATGATCAGTACATCTTGTTTGCATGTTTGATCAATTTTAGATTGAAGAAGCTGGTAGAATTCTTCTGTTTCATCCTCACTGGCTTTAATGGTTGGTGCATAAATTTGAATAATAGTGCTATTAACTGGGCTTCCCTGTAGGTACATGAATATTATTCTATCACATACAGCGTTGTACCTCATGACTGATCTGGATATGTTCTTTTGACAATGAATGCAAGACCATTCCTCTTGAATTTGTCATTTCCGGCATAAACCATTTGGTTGTCAGATTCAAAATGGCCAATACCAGTCCATTTCAGTTCACTAATGCCTAAGATATCGATGTTTATGCGTTCTATTTAATTTTTGACTATTTTCAATTTTCCTAGATTCATACTTTGTACATTCCATGTTCTGATTATTAATGGATGTTTACAGTTGTTTCTCTTCATTTTGAGTTGTACCCCATCAGCAAATGAAGATCCCACAGACTTTACTCCCAGGGCTTTACTTAATTCACATCATCACGTTCAATTCTATTTTGAGGAGGCATTTCTTCCCCAGTCACATTCTGAGTGCCTTCCAACCCGAGGGGCTCATTTTTCAGCACTATATCTGACAGTGTTTCTCTGCTATTCATAGGTTTTCAGTGACTAAATATTTGGAATTAGTTCATCACTCCTTCTTCCTAAGTCTGTGTTTGTCTGGAAGCTCATTTGAAACCTGTCCATTGTGCGTGACCCTGCTGGTGTTTAAAATACCCGCGGCATAGCTTCCAGTATCACAGCAACTCACAAGCCACTACAGTATGACAAACGGACAGAAAAGTGGTGGATTTTACCTATAGTTTGATAAAATGTACAATTGTGCAATTACACACAAGTCTTCATTCCTGGCCCCAAAGAACCATTGATCTGGTTTACAACATTATAATTACATATTTTCTACAATTTAACTTAAATGAAAACATTTAATAAGTAGTCTTTTAGTTTGACTTTTTTCACTTAGCATTGTTGTTGTTGTTGTTAAGTGCCGTCGAGTCGGTTCCGACCCATAGCGACCCCGTACAGGGTTTCCGAGGGTGTAAATCCTTACGGGAGTAGAAAGCCTCATCTTTCTCCCGCGGAGCGGCTGGTAGTTTCGAACCGCTGTCCTTAAGGTTCGCAGCCCGATTCGTAACCACTACGCTACCAGAGCTCCTTCACTTAGCATAATGAGATATATATATGTTGTTGGATATTATTAATATTGTGCTCCTTTTTATTACTTAGTAACACTCCACAGCCATAACCTAAGCCATAGTATTTCCAATAGCCTCATAGGCATATAAAAGTTGGACAATGAATAAGGAAGACCATAGAATTGCTGCATTTAGAGTTATGGTGTTAGAGAAGAATATTAGAAGTACCATGGACTTCCAGAAGAACAAACCAATCTGTGTTGGAAGAAGTAAAGCCAGAATGCTCCTTAGAAGCTAGATGATGAGACTTCATTTCTCATACTTCAGACATATTATCAGTCCCTGGAGAAGGACACCACTCTTGGTAAAGTGGAAGGTTAGTGAAAAACAGGGAGACCCCTAACAGGATTGAGTGGCACAGTATTAGCAGCAATGGGCTCAAGCACTACAGCAACTGTGAGGTTGGGACAGAACCAGGCAGTGTTTGGTTATGTTGTACACAGGGTCACAATGGGTTGGAATCAATTCATCACCACCTGACAATATCAACGTTCCATATTAGGATATACCACAATTAGTTTATTTTTTACTTGATGAACATTTGAATTTATCCCAACTTTTTGGTATGTTGAATGTTGCTACGAACACCTATATACAGGTCTTTGAGTGGACACATGTTTTTACTATTCTTGGTTAAATGCCCAGTGAACTAGATTGTGTGATGAGTGTAAGAGTGGTCTTCAAAAAGTTGTGGGAACGTTCCATTATCTTTAATACCATTTTCCACAAACTTTTTGAAGCCCTAATGTATGTTTAACTATAAGTTACTATAAAGCTGTTTTCCAAGGTTGCAGCATCATTTTGCATTTCTACCAATAAATGTATAAGGATTCTACATATTTTACCTCACTTATACAGGTTAGTTTGGGTTTGGCGCTGTGAGTTAATGTGCCAGACTGCAAAGCCGTTTGAACTGCAAAATTGGTAGTTCAAGCTCACCAGCTGCTCCTCAGAAACCCTATACAGGGTCGCTATGGATCAGAACAGACTCGATGGTACTTACCAACAACAACATACACGTTAGTTTAGAGGTTTCATAGAAAGTACTGAAGTGTTTCAAGAAAGGTACTGTATCTAAGTAGCCCCAGTGGCACAGTGGGTTAAGCGTTGGGCTACTAATAGGTCGGCAGTTCAAACCCACTAGCTGCTGCTCTATAGGAGAAAGATGAGGCAGTCTGCTTCCCTAAAGATTTACAGCCTTAGAAACCCTATGGAGCAGGTCTACTCTGCTTGATACGGTCACAATGAGTCGGAATCAATTTGATGGCAGTGACTTTGATTTACTGTACCTTATTTTAAAATCTGTTAAAATATGTATGTATATTTTTTGGGGGTGTGTATGTCTATTTGTTTGTTTTTTTGTAAGTATTTTAAGTCCAAAAAACATATAGCGCTTTCCTAGATATCAGCATTATCTTTAAATTAGGCAGTTAAACCAGGCCAACTTTATCTTTTATTAACTTCTTCTTACTTTTATTATGTTCTTACCTGAGTTGCTCAATTTTCTCTGGAGTAATAGGACTCTTCCCAAAAACTTGGTCTATCTCTTCATATAATTTTTTCTGAGCTTCTTTGGAAGTGGTTAAAAACCAGATTGCCCAAGTGCATACTAGGTGAAAAATCATATTAATAAAAATGAAAATCAATAACTAATGGCTTGAGGGCAGAATAACAAACAATTCTACAAATGCTTTTTTTTTTCCTGATGCAGAAGATACATAAATGTGCCAAAAAATAAAGTAAAATTTCTCACAGGGTTTTTACTTTATTGAAAAGAATATATCCAATAAAAGAGATATCCAATCTGAAAGGTCTCTTTCTCACAACTGGCAAGTACAAAAGCTACATTTTACCTTAGGTAAGACAGTAATGATCATTAATAAAATTTAATGCTGGGGGAGTGTTTAATAATTTCATGGTTACATGGGTCACTCAAAACATTGTAAAATCTGAAAATTAATTTTACCAGTTCACTCAGAAGTCCCAATGAAATGATTCAAATAAATCAAACTAGCAGATCTACCTATAAGTCAATAGCTAAATTTTACTTGTAGAGGTAGATATACTGCATCTACAATTGTTACTCATAATTGCTTGTTGTTAAGTGCCATCGAGTCAGTTCTGATCCACAGAAATCCTGTATAGAGTTTTTGAGTAGCGACTGGTGAGCTTGAATCGCCAACCTCGCAGTTCACACTGACCTTGCAATCCAGCACATTAAACCACAGAGACACACCAGGACTCTCATAATTGCTTAGGACAGTAGTTACCAAAACTCGTCTGGAGATGAAAGAGACTAGAGAATCGCCCTAAGACAGCCTTTGAACTTGGAATTGAAGCTACTACTGCAGGTCATCTTTCAGTCAAATAAAATTGGCTTATAAAATGAACAGTATCACCTGTGAGTAATGTGCTTCCTTAAACATTTAATTATATGAGATCAAACAGTCAACAGTTACCCAAAAGCAAAGATGAGATGGCAAAGAAGAAGAGAAGTTAGATCAATGGAATTAACGACACTGCTTGAGCAATGTGTGAATTGTAACCAATGGCATGGGGCAATTTGTATGAAAATTATTAAAGGGAAACCTAATTTGCTGTGTAAACTTTCAACTAAAACACAGTAAAATATAATTTAAAAAAAAAAATCATCTGGTGAGTACTTGATGCTGTAGTCCCATACCCACAGATTCTAAATCATTACGTTTGAGGTAGAGTCCAGGTAATCGTGGAAGTACTGTGATGAACATCAAAACTGGAAAACCACTAGTTTACTTCTGTTTAAACTGGTTGATGGTTTATGTTCAGAGGAAATGAAAATAAAGGTAAGAGAATTATGTGATGAACATAAAACGTAGGAAATAGAGAAGAAATATTTCCTTTGGTAATATAATTACATCTGCTGTGGGTTAATGCACCAGACTGCAAAGCTATTTGAACGTCAAGGTTAGCGGTTCAAGCTCACCAGCTGCTCCTTGAAAACCCTATACAGGGTCTCTATGGGTTGGAACCAAATCTATGGCACTTAACAACACAACATTCAAACAATGGAACTATCCAGAAATATATTACCTCTTTCCCCAGATTCTGCTTGAACTGACACCACCTACAGCTCTACTTTTCTATGTTGGATCATTTTTAACATATTTACCTAATTTTTAACCTCTTTTCTAAGGTAAATATTGATTTGGTCTCAAAGTTTTTATTTTTTAAAATGTTTACCTGATTCATCTATAACCCAATACTTATACCTGAAAGATACTTTCTGTACTAAATATAATTATCAATAAAATCCATACCTATCCAGTGGCACTCAATTATTTTGATAATTTACCCAACCCAGATCTTATAAAAAGCACAAGTGATTACTTTCCTTTACTTTAACCTGCATATGCTTCTTTATTATGCTTTTTGAGCAACCTATAGAATCCCTATCCCACAAGCATTGTTACACAGTGTACAATTTTACAGTATACAGTATATTGAAAGAATTAGAACAAGGATTTTCATACAGTAGACATTCACATACCCCGACTATTATCACTTAAAAGTAATGCAATTATTTAATCTTAATGATCTCAGACAAAGGTTCTTTTGTATAGCTCTATTATAAAGTACTCTGGAGAGCTTAAAATCTGTTTTTAAGCTAGTTGTTGTAGTTAAGTGCCGTGGAGTCGGTTCCGACCCATACTGACCCGTATAGGGTTTCCAAATAGCGACTGGTGAGCTTGAACCGCCGACCCTGCAGTTTACGCTAGTTAGGGTTCTTTAAATACAATAATGAACAGGACACAATGTCATAACTGAAAGACAGGTTGGAGGTCATCTAAAGTTAAACCTTCATTAAGAAAAGGAGAAAATACAGAGGTAAGTATCTTGCCTAGGTTAGTAAGTGGCAGCAGAGTAGAGGCTTTAATGGATTTTCCTGCCTATCTTGACTCTCCAAAACTTGAGTAATGCCTTTTTAAAATATCCAACCTACATGCAAATAAAGGAGCTCTGGTAGTGTAGTGGTTACGAATTGGGCAGTGAACTGCAAAGTCAGCACTTCGAAACTACCAGCCGCTCTGCGGTAGAAAGATGAGGCTTTCTGCTCCTGTAAAGATTTACAGCCTCGGAAACCCTGTGAAGGGTCACTATGGGTCGGAACCGACTCGACGGCACTTAACAACAACAACATGCAAATACGCAGTAATCCCCTAAACACGGCAAATAAGATTTAAATCATAACTCAGTTTTGGAAATGGTCACATTTCCAACATTGGTTGTGTCCAGAGCACAACCAATTCTGATATTTTGAAGGGCTTTAGCAAAGATCTATTTTTAATGTCATGAATTTTGAAAATATTTTGTCAAAGGTTAATAATGCCTTAACTAACACATGCTTGCCTAGATTCCATCTCGTCTGTAACAGCTAGAGATCTCTAAGTGTCAAAATTTGTACAAAGAGGAAAATTTATGGATGTTTTCATTTGTACTCACTATTTTTTGGAAATTTCCCTTAAACAGAAAGACTTGGATATGAAATGCCTTAGGTGAACATAAATTATCTAGATTTTGAGCTCATGTTTTAATAATTCTAAGCATTTTATACTAGTGTATTTTTATATCTATATACACTTTTTTATATATACTAAAAACCAGTGAGGAAACTTAGAAACATCACATATTTTAGGATTTTTTAATAAAAATTTTTTAAAATCACCTTCAACTCCACCAGCAGAGTCCTTTTAAATTGTGTTCTCTGTGGCCTATATTTTCTGCTGGTAGACCTTGATAAGAGCACACAGGATGGGAATCAAAGTGAAAAGCAGCAGTAGGAAATGGAAAGACTCGCTGCTCCAGCTGCAAAGGTTCAACAGCAGTTCATTTTAAAAGACACTAACTGGAATTCAGAATCCATAAATGTCAAGAAATTTATGGCACTGTTCAGAGGTGGCATAAGGCACCTACAGTAAAAAAGATACTTGTGTAAATTAAGCCTTTAAAGCAAGAGTAAAAAAGAAAAGGGAAATTTTTATACAACGCTCTGCAGTCTTTCTTTCACTTTAGAATATCTTAACCTTTACATATTTTGTAATCCACCTAAAAATACATAAATTTTTTACTTACACTTTGCAGTTATTATACAACCAGCCAGAGAAAATATCACACTGTCTTCTAGGATCTAAGAAACAAAGCTAAATTTAGAAAGTGTGAAATGTAAAGCTGCTTATATTAGGCCCTACTAAAATAACCTAAAGTATAAAATAGGATCAAAGAAAGAATAAAATACCTTATTTTTTTAATAATGTTTCTATTAAAACAAAACCTGTATCTGAAAACCAGCCTAAGCACTGCATTGCTTTTAGATGCAATACATATTTGTTGATAAGATTATTGGCTGATGATACATTTGGACAAACAAACTGGCTCAGTACTATCTTTCTGACTTGGTCTGATTGCAGCATCGAAGCCTCAGAAACAGTGGAGAAGAGGCTGCCATGCTCCTCATGTTGTTGCTGTTATTGTTATGTGCCATCGAGTTGGTTCCAACTCATAGTGACCCTATATAGGGTTTCTAAGGAGCGACTGGTGAGCTTGAACCACTGTCCTTGCAGTTCAAATCAACTTTTCAGTCCAGCGCATTAACCCACAGTGCCACTCTCTTCATATCCTGATCTTAGTTCTGTGTGCACACGAATATTTATACAGAAGACCACTTCTGTCAGCAAGGAACTAAAAGCTGACTTGCATATGTTGTTGTTCTTGTTAGGTACCATCGAGTTGGTACTGACCCATAGTAACATTATGCACAGCAGAAC